TTGTAGTGTATCCTCAGTGAACATGAATTTCCACAAAATAAACAAGTCGTCAATCGAAGAAGTGACATACATATCAAATCAAGATTGATTTGATATGTATGTGATATGTAGTCCATTAATATTTTGAATGAAACTTCAAATCAAAACATCAAGACTGAATTGTTTTTTGAAATTATTACTGCAAATTTTCTCTTTACTTCGAAACAAATTTTACAACTCTCCGCCATCTGTCGGAGACTTACTGCATTTCAGTATTACTATAGAATTTGAGACCTCAAACTTTATTATGTTGTTTGAGAGGAATTTTACATTCGTGCGTCGTCTGTTGAAGATTTATAATACCTACTGATGACTATAACTTGAAAAAACATATTTTCAACAATAAATCGGACTAGCCTACGAACTGGCAGCTGAAATTTAAATTACTGGAAAGCTGAAAGTAAAAGTCGTCACCCAAACAAATATACCATAAAATGAAAAAAAATGCTATGCCTGTTGGTTAGGTTGAACGTGTCTACTCCTGCAGAAAACTGTTCCCTACTTTAGAAAGCAATGTTAAAGTACCGTGAGGCTACGAGTACTTCAGATAATATCATTCACAATACTTCGACAGCTATCATTACCTAGACCGTGCACCCATTCAGACGTAACCGTCAAGATTTGAGTTGCACCTTGCCGTGAAGTGATTTATGTTTTTTTTTTAATAAAGTCAGTATGCCAACTGGTTTATTATTCTCGACACTCTCGACTGAGGGACAAGATGTAGGTGTGATAAAAAATAATACTTCTGAATAACTGGTAATCAAGTTTCTGAAATATCGTTTTTGTGGATGTTCAGAAAATAAAAACAAAATAAACTCTTTTTAATGTATAACCATAACCATTCCATAACCATTATTTGATGTCTCTTTCAGATACATTCAGGAAAAACCACAGACATTGTTCATATATTTGATATGTAAAAATAGTTCTAATTAGTGCAATAATATATTAAATTGGGGAAAAGAAATGTTTTGGCTTTCTTCTTCTCCATCTTTACACAAAAAATGTGGGGATCTTAGAAAGAAAGGAAGAAAGCAATGCAATTTCCAAAAAAATCAACTATATACATAGATGTGTAGATCATGCAAAGAAGTAACTTCCAGACACATACTCGAAGAAAAAGCCCTTTCGAAACAGCTACTTTTATATAACGATTAAATTACAAAAACCTTTCAAACAAATACTTTTATATTATTCGTTTTATATACATCTCAATTTCATATATAGATCACTGCAATTTGTAACCATGCATTGTTACAACAGTTCTTCATTTTAAAACACACATTTCACAAATTCTGAAACGGGTTATGCCAATTTCAAAATGATTCCAACAGAGCATTTTTGAATAAAAAAAGTAAAATTATAACTGCGATGCTTTAGTTCTTTCACATGCCAACTATGCAGAAGTGGTGTATGATCCAGAAATTTTGAAGAGTGACAGTTTAAGAATCCTAAAGCTCCAGAATGCATGCATTATGCTCATTACGGGTACGAGGAAACGAGAACATATTTCACATCTATTCGTGAACGAACATTTCATTCTGCAACATTCTTTCATAAACTCCTTGAAACAAAAAAATCTTCAGAACTGACATACACCATCTTAACTTGAGATTCAGGACACATTTAACAATACCACAACATAAAACTTATCATATTGCCAACTCACATAATCGGATTCCGTAGCAAATATAAACCTCTGCCAATAGGAAGATTCAAACGAAATTTGAAAAATAACTCCTTACAGTAAATAGATTTTACTAATCAAATTATGTCGAAATCAATCAACCTTACTCAAAGCACAAAAAAAAATTGAATAACAATTAAAAAAAAACAGTTCTCTATAATTATTACTATCCTTATCCTGTAATAATACTATATTAGTCTAAGATATTTTTTTACTTCGCTGTATATACCATTTGCACCGTTCTTGATAAAGTACTGGTTTCTTTTCTTTTTCTGTTCTTCTTACGTAGATATTGAATCCATTTGATTAGTTATAGTTTTATGGAACCATTTTTTGTCACCGTACTGTGCGCTGGTCAGGCCCTATCCCCCGAAGTCCCGATACATTCGGGAGGGCGCGCCAGCATTATCAACCAATGACCACTCCCAACACCGTGGGGTATGTGTTCATTGGGTCCGAGAATCATGTGCCCTGAGCAAGCGCAGTGAGCCAAGAATGAGAGCCTTCTGCATCTGTGCGGCTAAGATTTCTGCCTTAGTGCGACAAGCCGGTATGATTTTAAGATGCGAGAGTAGAGAGGACATCATTCCACCAAGGACTCCAATAATCAGAACAACCATTTTGACAAAAGTGAACTGGATACAGTCTGCGGAGTTCGAAGAGAAAATATCGATGTTTCATCCGTTTTTCCTCCTCTTTTCTGACGATATTCGTCTCGCCAGGAGCTGAAAACTCCACGACAAATATCGTTTTGCTCTGGTGGTCGAGAAGGACCACATCAGGCGTATAAGCTTGTATGAGCCTGAGGGTGGGGAACGAATAGTTCCAATAAATTCGGCATTTCTCGTTCCCCACAACGGATTCAATACCCCCGGAGCGTAGGCCAACACCGGTGTCTCGTCAATACCGTAAGAGTGCCGTAGATGGTAATATAGCACTCTTAGAGTCGCATTATGTCGATGGATATAGGCCGAGATCGCATATGCTGGACATGCTGATAGCAAGTGCATTAGAGTCTCGGGAGCCTCGTGGCAGGCCCTGCACCTTGTGTCAGGAACCTCTATACCCATCACGCGACTGCAGTAGACTAAGGTGTTGAAGACACCGAACCCCTCAGTTTCCGACTTCAGCCCACTCGACCTGAGAAAAGCGAACGTCAGACGCTTTGATAAACATTTCTCCTTAGGGCAGCTGCTCGAGCAGCTGACCAGATCTGTCGAAGTTTGGCGTTGTTACACCCCGAGGTAAGTATACGTCTCTCCGGCATCCAGATGGTGTAGGATGCTTCCATCTACGAGCTGCACATCCTCTCCGTAGTCCCCGCATCGTCCTCTTTTGAGATGGACCATTTAAATATTAAATTGAATTCTGACTTCATTATAAAATTACTTCATATCAATTCTTTCAACTTACAAGAAAATATATTTTGATAATTGAAATCACGACTGCCTGTCTCATAAAGCCATAACCGTTATAAATTACATGAAATCAGGAGAGGATGTTTATCAGTTAATAAAATAACGGAACATAATAACTTCAACTTACTTGAAAATTGGGTCCAATTAAGGGGAAATCATGAAAACAAAGAAGTAGTAGCTCCTAAATCTGTGGCAATCTATGAAATAAATGGGGTCAGGAAAGTTGACTAATATAATTGCGCTAATGCGATATCTAAGGAAAGTTTCATGAACTTATTGAATAAAACATGAAGCTTTCTTTTATTCATTGAAAAAATGTCCTGTTTTTCGCGATTACTAGGTCCTGAAATTTCATCTGATAATAGAGAGGTTCAACATCATTACCTAGTTTTAATCTGATAATCAATGGTAACTTACAGAACAAGAAAAGCAATGAGAACAAATGAAAATTCTCTATAAAACTTTCCAAATACTGAAACTGTGCATATTGAACAAATGAAACATGTAAAATTATTCAAAATGAATTATTGATAGTTGAAAACATTTTCAAAAAAAAAAACATTCATTTCCATTCAATTTTTCGAGAAGTAATAAAATTGAAAAGAGTTATAGATGATCGATCCAATATTTTTAGGGATAGAATACATGAAAATCTATATCGGATTATTCGTAAATGATTTCAAGTCAAGGATATTGAATAAAACCCTCCATATATTTTTTTACTATTTGATCGGATATGAAATTCTTTTTTCAACAACATACAACATGTTGCAATTTTTATTTAAAATGGCGGTGTAGGGTGAAATTCAATCTGGCGGCACCATGACGTCATCTATATAAATATTGTCAAACGACGCGACGAAGAAAGAAACAGACGAAGAAGTATGTTTGATTTTTGAATGAAAAATCGAAAATTGAAAATTTTCATTAATCGACATACCTTTTCTGTTTTTTTAAATGCCATCCTCTACTTCATTCATCTTGAGAATATTAATAAAAAGTGGCTTTTTTTTCAAATTTGATATTTTTCTACAAAAAATTGTCGAAGATACTGTGATGTTCATTTTTCTGTGACAGCGAAAAAGTGAGTAAGTTGTTCAAAACAAATATGAGCAGCTTTGACATTTTGACGGATAACTCTGTAAAGATTTTCATTAACAATCTATATTTTCATTTCAAATTTGTTACATCATTAATAATTAAATTGTGCCGTGTACAATGATTTCATTGTCACCCGGTATATCACAAAAGCTTATCGCAAAATTCACCATCACACAGGTACATCTCGCGATGAGCTTTTACATCACATGAATTGTGTAAATGATGTATTTGAAAGTTCATTTTCTTCCTTTCGAAACATACAAATAAAAGTTTGTTTTTGAATTTTTTTCTAACAATGATGTTTGTTTTCAAATTATCGCCTCAAACTATCCCTAACTTTTGTCAAGTTGAAACTTTATGAATCCCTACATCATGGACGTGTAAAAAAAGAGCTTAGCTCATCATTTTTCGTTGTTCATCATATTAGATTTAGAGTGATATCATGTCATTTACTTTCCTTGATTTTTTAACCAAATTCTTTCATTTGATTTCCATATATCATATCATAAAAAACTAATCCGCTATCTTGGGCGTTCCGCCGTATTTAACATGGATGTTGTGTAGTGAACTTTTAAGCAATCCCGTTCTTTGATATCCATATCATGGGGTACATAAAAAACGTATCCGCCATCTTGAGCGGCTGTTCGTCATATCAGATTTCGGGTGAAATCATTTTATTTTCGTATCCTTTTCAGCAAATCCTCTCATTTGACACATATGTTAGGTATCACTAATACATTAAAACACTTCACTCTGAACAACTAATATATTCCCCAAATAATGTTTCGCCACAACAACCGTATCCTACTTAGTCTACTCAATAATGAATATCTCCCGATAAACAGCTGCTTCCATGAATCATCCTCATTACGCATAACTGGACTATCGATATATAGGGCGGTTGTTCCTAACACGGCCATCCTAATTTTTGTTCGCCCTCGAACTATTCGAAAAATCTGAAATGAAAAAAAAAATAATATTTTTTTGTAAGTAGAACAACATATTAATCAAGCAAAGTTTCGACACTTGGATTATAAATCTGCGTCAATATATCCAACAACCGGCCTTTGTACTGGAAGTGGCTTCAATTTATCCAGCTATAGGCCTTGATACCTAAAGCCGTCTACTATAGGCCTTGATACCTAAAGTAATCTATTCAGCTATAGGCCTTGATACCTAAAGCCGTCTATGGACACGGAACATATAACTTGATGTCTTCTAAACCATATACTCCTTCATAGGGAGCTCCTTTGCTGGTCCTGGTTGCATGGATATCCTCTTTCACCTCGTAACGATCATGAGGAAGAACTTTGACAATTCTAAAAGGACATTTATATTTTTCCAACAACTTCTTGCTTTGGTTATTATTAGCAGGTAAACTTGAAATTCTAATTAAGACCAAGTCTCCGATTTCAAAAGTGTGAGCTGGTCTTCTTTTTCTATCGAATACTTCTTTTTGTCTCTCTTCATTTCTTTTCAATTTATTTTCTGCTTGCTTTCACAATTCAGTGATATCTAGGGACTTATTGTTATCATCAATCTATCAGTCAGCCTGACTTCTCAAGTTTATAGTTGTTTTCACGGAAAATTTCCATCTTCTCTATTGAGAAAATTTTATTACGTAAATAAGAGCCCAAGTTATTCAAATCTCTGATATTTTCCGCCTCGGCCCCTGAAATAATATTTTTATCTCCGATTGCTCCCAAAACTAACGAAATTTTATCCTCATCTGAAAAATTCAGCTTCAGGCTATCAATTCTAGCTAAATGTTGAAAGAAAAAATCATATAAGGAATATCCGTGTGGCGGTTTATGATTTGCTACTTCCATAAAAAGTGCATGCATATCGCTTTTTGAATGGAAAGTCTCTAATAATTTGATTTTCCAATTCTCCCAATTATTAGATGGCCAATTTCTATCATTCACAACTAAACTTTTATACCAAATTTTAGCAGTGCCTCGTAATTTACTTAATGTCTGTTGAATAGTTTGATATTTCGGACATTCAAATAACTTCGCATGATGATCAATAATATCAATCCAACTGTTTACATTGTCTATTAACGGGTTAAATTCTCGTATAACATTCGATGCACTGATAACTGTGTCACTAGACAAAGGAATTGGAAAACGACTCACCCCTAGTCTGCTAGAATTATGCTTGGTTCTTTTTATCTTATGTTTCCGTTGTCTTTTTTCAGTGTTTGATGAGCTAGATGAACTTGTAGAACTCGAAGAACTGCTAGGAGAATGTCTTCTTCCCTTTCCCATGTTGCTGACGTGAGATACAACCACTTCTGATGTTAGGTATCACTAATACATTAAAACACTTCACTCTGAACAACTAATATATTCCCCAAATAATGTTTCGCCACAACAAACGCATCCTACTCTAGTCCACTCAATAATGAATATCTCCCGATAAACAGCTGCTTCCATGAATCATCCTCATTACGCATAACTGGACTATCGATATATAGGGCGGTTGCTCCTAACACATAATATATTATGGGGTGCATAAAAAACTTGTCTGTCATCTTGGGCAGTCCGTCTTGAGCAATCCGCCATATTAAATATAGTTGTTGTTTTTTGTAAACTTTTGAGAAAACCCGTTTATTCGGGATCCATGGAGTGCATAAAAAACTAATTCGCCATCTTAGGCGGTCGTAAAATTCTCAGCAAACCCGTTCATTTGATATTCATATCATAAGAGTACATAAAAAACTTTTCCACAATCTTGGTCTATTCGTCATATCGGGTTTAGACTGAAGTCATTTTATTTTCCGTATCCTTTTCAGCAAACCGTTCAATTTGATACCAATATCATGGGGTGCATAAAAAAATGTGTCCGTCATATTGGGCAGTCCGCCATATTGGATTTAGAGTGGCATTTTGTTATTTTTGCATTCTTTTCAGTAAACTTTTTTTATATGAGAATGCATTAGAACTTAATTCGTCATAAGGGATGTAGAGTACCGCCATTTGATTTTTTGGATTCTTTTCAGAAAACCATTTCATTCGAAACTCATATCATGGACGTTCATAAAAAATCTAGTCCACTTTGTTGGATGATCCGCCATATTGTATTCATAGTGATGTTATGTTATTTTTTCTTATACTTCTTAGCAAACTCTTTCACTTATGCATCACCCATATCATGGTGATGCATAAAAAAAAATAGTTCGACATCATAAGCTGTCCGCCATCGATTTTACTATTAATTCATGTTCTTATTAATTTTTCTGTAGACGTGCTAAGTGCTAAGTGCTAGTTATTTATTTTAAAACAGTTCTTGTCAATGGTAAGCTAGAACAGAACACCTTAACAATTCATAGGACTGACCTGAATTTTTTCGTCAATTTGACAAACAAACAAAACGTTTATTCGAAAACAATCATTGATACGATCAATTCGTACTGATTCCTTCATGAGATGATAGCCGGTTGGGTTGGCGTAAGTGGTTCTTCCTACTCAATCAATCGACCGCTATGTGAAACGTTGGTTCGTGCCCTATGGCAGTACGTCCAACTCGAACTAGGTAATACCCCATTAATCTTCAGATCTCACGAGTTTCGACTTCTGATGATTGTTAACAAAAAAAAAAGTTTCAAATGATTTCATCAATTTTTTTTGATGTTTGGTTTTATATTATTGTTCATTATTCGGGAAAAATGTATATACTTTTTCGAGCCGA